ACGAAATTTGCTGGTACTGAATAAGACAGAATGGAGCGATTTATAGGAAAACGAGAAAGTTCGACCGTCAAATTAAACTTCTACTGCAATCCCATTCTGCACCACCTGGCTTGGATATATATTTGTAGCGGCTGTCAGTTTATAGTCTAGATGTTCATCTATGCAGCCGGCATCCTTTCACCAACCACAGTCTATTTCTGCGACAGCACTAGCGTAAAACGATTGGGAAATGGTACCTTCTGTCAGTGCTTCGAGCCGCGAGCAACGCTGGATCTCAACAATCAGTGAATTGTACATCGAGTGGTCAATGTGATCCTCGTCCTCTCTCATTGTCACATAACTCGTTGTTGTGAGTTTTCTCTGTAATTTGCATAAAACTGTTATTTTACTTCATATTTTCTGTGTTCATGAATGGGGATACAATGACAGCCCAAATGTCTCGCTCAAATAGGGATAAGTCTTCTCTTATTTTCATTTTCCACAGCAATTTTTCATGCTGAATTTTGTTCCATAGAAACAGCAAAAGTGCCCACAAGCTTCATACGTAGATCGATGCCCGTTCTGAAAATTCCGAGAAAAAAATGAATGGTTTTTCAAATGCATTCGCTACGCTTCGCACGAACGTTTGTCCATGTCCCTTGCACGCAAGCGAGTGACCGTTCGTTGTACTGCGGCTTGGGCAGAAACTTCTCATTTATTTTAGGATTAATTTTTACCTTTTGCAAGGTTATAGCAGTGATCATTTCTGGGCTCACATTCATATCGTATTCCACTGCTGCAAACGCGCTACCGTCTCGAACTGACTTCATTTCTAACGTGCCGCTGAGAATTTTGCCCGTCCACAGGAGTGTTTTTAGAGGAATCATTCCGACAGCACAGAGCTCGTAAGTTGAACCGCGAGAGTGATAAATTTCCAGTGTTACGCCGTCCTAGAATTGTATTATCAGCAGGAAATAGTTAAAAGTAATGATAAAGCAGCATTAATGATCTAGCCGATCAGCTGCTAAACTAAAAGTTGACAGCATTCTTTAACTTCTAATCCTTGAAAATTCCTGAATAGGCTGCTCGCATCAGTTTTCAGATGTGCATACACTTACCGTCTCGAGATAATGAAGGAACAAGTTTGAGACGACTACGTCATATATTGTCGTGAAGTCCAATCTTGCCCTATAACACATTTGTAAAACATTTTTCAGATCATTTTTAAAAAAAACTGGTGACGATTGAGAGAGTAGAAACCAGTAGAAAAAGCCGGGACAGAAAGAAGGAAGACGACGGCAGAAAAGAGAGGCATTTATAGGGTCAGTTTTTTCAAAATTTTATGTCATGGTTTCATAAAATTTTTAAGTGGAGAAGAATCAGTAAATAGCTGCCCACCAGAGTATCCAGTGCGACCATACGTTTTGCGCATTTCTTCTCGTTATCAAGAATATTCACCGCTTTACTGTTTAGTGCTTTCAAAAAAAGTTGAAATGTTGTCTGGTCCCTGAGCTACAAAAATTTCACGTGTTCACGCATGAAACATAGACGTTCATGATAGCTGAATTTGAATTTATAGAACCGCACATGAAGAAAAAACATCCCCGAAGAAATTTAGCTTTTTGTTTTGTCTGGTTTCTAAACTAAAAAAAAAAAATTCACAAGTTAAATTTTATGTGCCTATAACTGAGAAATAAGTGCACATGATTGAAGTTATAGGTTTTTATGCGTTTTTGCATAATATGCAAATGTGAAAACGCATATTGCGACGACCCCGGTGTGTGTGTGTGTGTGTCTGTCCGGGTATTTCAACTCGGCACCCAAGCAAGCTCCGGCGCCAAAATTTTGCGAGTGGATTCCCTGGCCAATTGCCACCCCGGGACTGCGGTACCAACCCTCAGGCACGCCTAGGCCCCGCGTCCGAGGGGGCTGAAGTTTTGGCGGGAAAACTGCTAACTCGAGAACCAGAAAAGCTATAGAGCTGAAATTTTGGAATTATGTTTCCTGTCCCTACAGAACTTAAAGATTTCAAATTCAGCCCCCGGGGGTTCGTGGTTCCCGCGCACGGCCTCCT